ATTTTATTTTTAAAATTACTTGAAATTAGTTTCTATTTTTAAATTGATTTCATTTAAGTTTAATTTTAAATTAATTTCATTCATTTCATTATTTAAAATAATTTTTTATTTGATTTTCAAGATTAAATTAATTTGATTTTAAATTAAAATTACTTTATAATTTAAAATTGTAATTTAATTTTTAATTAATTTTATTTTAAAAATTGATTCAAATTATATTTAAATTAATTTAAAACTTTTAATTCATTGTAATTTAATTTTAAATAAATTTTATAATTTAATTATTATATTATTTATTAAATAAATAAATATAAAAAGTTAAAAAAAAAAGAAAGTAGAATCGATTTGGTTCAACTGGGTTTGTAGATTTGGATAAGTTTAGGTGAGTTTTAAATAAGTTTAACCAAGTTTGACATATCCGTTGTTACTATACTAATTCGACTTTTTTCTAAAACTAGTTTTAATTCAATTGATTAAACTGATCAAATCAAGTCAGATTTCAAAATAAAAATTTTCAAGTTTCATGTTATCTATTTAATATGAAAAAGGTTTGAATCGTTTATTTTTTATATCAATTTGAAGTTTTGTGAATAATTTATATTTATTCAACGTGTTAAGAGTTAACTAAACCAAAGACAATGATGAAAGGAACTATTTTGTAATTTAAAAAGGTTAATTGCTAAATATAAAAAATTTTAAAGGTTGGGAAAATTTTTTTAGAAAACTGAAGGTTAAGGACCAATAAATATTTAGAAAGCCTTTCACATTTTCTTTCTGTTTCTTTTGATTTGTTATTCAATAACTAATTATCACTTAGCAAATTTCACATAACCTTAGTATTGAATTTTCTTTGACTTCATTGAAACTGATATGCAAGAATTGCAAAGGGAACAATGACAATGACCTATTAATAAATTGGAGATCAAGTATTTGCACTGACCAAAATCCTACTTGGATATATAGAGCTTAAGTTAATTCAAAGAATTTTGAATTCCAAATGAATTCAAACAGAAAAAGTTAAAAGAGATTTATTTGAGCAAAGAAGGCTAAATTGCTGTCTGTGATCACGCAGAGACTCTTGGACACTCACTCCACGTTGTGACTTGAGAAGAGCTAGGGCCGCAGCATTGAACATAGTCCCAACAAGTATCGGTGCAGCCAAGGTTGTCTATCTTGTTCTATCCTAGCTCTAGGGCAAGCTCAACAATATTGCACTCCGAGTACCAACACCAAGTGTTTCAATTGTTGGCCTTGTTGTGAATGTTGAGAAGGGGATTACATTTGAGGATGTCAATGCTGCCATTAGAAAGGCAGCTGAGGAGCCATAGAAGGCATGTTGACTGTCTGTGATGTTCCTTTTGTGTTAGTGGACTTCAGGTGCAGCGATGTTTCTTCTACCATTGACACACTTCATTAACCATGGTAATCAGAGACGACATGGTTAATGTGGTGGCCTGGTATGACAATGAATGGGGTTACAAGTTAAGATACATTTCTTAAAATCCTCTTGTTTTTAACTATAATCTTATTTGCACCTTACCAATTACTAACAGTAATATGATGGATATTTGCGGCCCAAAGGTAGTTGATTTGGCACATCTTGTAGCAAGCAAGTGCCCTAGCATGCATGCTGCACGAAGTGGTGATTCCTTGGAGGATTTCTGCAAGACAAACCCTGCTGATGAAGAATGCAAAGTTTATGAAGCGTAGATCATGAGTTTTCTTGTTAGGATGAATGCTACAATGACCAGGTTTTCACAAATGCTTATTTTGTAATGACAGTTGTTTCATCATGAACATGATAATCTTTTGAAATAGCCAAAGCTAATAATGAGATTTCTTCTAATTCTATTACTTTTACCTCTCAAAATAGAATATTAACGAATCCATATTCTAATTAATTCCTATTAAATTAGTTAATTAAAACCTATCAGTTAAACCAAACATCGGTTTTCTAATGTCAAAAATTACTAATAGGTTGATTGGTTGAAGAGCTTGACATACCAAAGCATACTTGGGAAGGTAAACATGCATGTGTCTTCTCCATGTGCATGCATCCATCTGATAGGATTGTTTCTTTTGGCCCTTTTCTTTTCCTTGAACTTCATCAGTGGCAATTGAATCAAGAAGTGAGCAATTACATTATCCCTGCATGTTATTATTATTTTTTTTAGAAACATGAGAAATTGTAGGTTTCCAAGCCACAGGCAAGAGTTGAACTCCCAACCTATGAGTTTAGGCTTGGGTGGTGAACCGTTAGGCTCACTAGTTAAGGCTGATTCCTCTACATATTAATTAATTGATTAATTGACGACTAAATAAACTATGAAATTTAAATATCTAACTTTTCTTGTATACTTAATTTTCAAGCTTAAGAATATTCTAAAAAAGGAGTAAACTGGTCTTTTTAATCAAGATTTTAAACTCATACCTATAGAAGATGAAGTTGTTCAATTGCTTGGAGCCAATTTCCACTGTAATTTATTTGTCTCCTCCAAACATGAAACATCTGGTGTTGCCCATCTGATCATCGACATTCTTTCAACCTCAGCTTCTTCTGAAGCTTGCATCTCACAATCTATCTTGACTGTTAAAAGAAGTCCACTCTCCTAGATGAGTTTTTTAATGTTAGATGTCATGGAGAGTGCTAAAGACTACCTGACATGTAACTGATTTTTAAAAATGTCTCCATTATAGTAAATCAAAATATCTGGGCATGAGGCATTATGAAACAAGGAAAAGTTGAGTTCCAAGTTGTACAGAATTGTGTCTATACATTTTTAAAGCTCACTTGTCAAAGTAGATCTTCTTTTCAAAAGTAGAAATTGACAAGTAGAGCTATACTACCAGATTGTATTAAGTTGAATTAAAGCTGTTTTTTT